AGCACATAACAGCCCATTTGTAGGTGGTAAAAATGTAGGCAACAAGGAAAATAATTTATCTTCAGACTATCAAAATTAAAATTAAATGACATAATTTCTTTGATAATCTGGAAACTTTCCAGCCAAAAGAAATGGCCTATTCGTTCAACTACCATAATCAATAGTCTTTTGATTCACTTAGTCCCACGTGATTTTAATTGGGTAGCAGAAAAATAGAACAGAAATATATTCTTTTGTCCTTTGTACTTTTCCTACAAAGCACAAGAATCAAGTTAGTCATATATATATATATATATTTTTTATATGTTTATATGTGTGTGTATATATACATACACAGAAGGTGGAAAATATTCTGTTTTGACATACACATACAATAGACCTATGACTGTGAAAGGTTCATGAATTCTACTGCAATCACAATGAGAATGAGCACAATGGTCTAAACTTGGGAAGTTAGTCTTGAAAGCTTCAAATTTATTTAACAAGCATTCAAGTCACCCAGTGGGTAACTCTAGACTGTTAGAATGAATACATAATCATTAGTAATAACTAACATTCACTGGACACTTATCTGCCAGGCACTGTTCTAAGGGCTTCGTGTGTATATTAATTTATTTAATGCTCTCATCAACCCTGTGAAGTGGGTCATCATTACTACTCTTATTTATAGATGAGGGGCTTGAGGCACAGAGAGTTAAGGAACTTGCTTCAGGTCAAACATGGTGAGAGGCAAGGCCAGGACTTAGGCCAGGAAGCCCGGCTTCAAAGTCCAGGTTTTGACCACCACACCACTGCCTCTTCCAGTCCTTCAGGCTATTCAAACTGGCGGGGTAAGATCTGACCAAGCATAACACTTCACCTTTATGGGTAGGGCAGATAAACTTTTGGGGGCATTTTGGTTGATAAATAGTTTTTCTGGGAGAGCCTGTAGGCTATGAAAGTTCCTGTTTTTCCTGTAATCCTAGTGACTTGGGAGCCTGAAGCAGAAGGATCACAAGTCTGAGGCCAGACTCAGCAACTCAGTGAGACCCTGTCTCAAAATTTAAAAAGGGTCTTTTTACCACTGATGTAGCTCAGTGGTAGAGGGACCCTAGGTTCAATCCCTTAAAAAAAAAGAAAGAAAGAAAGAAAAAAGAAAAAAAAAAAGGTCCTGTTCTACTTCAACTCCCCCAAATTTTCCTTATTAAAAATCATTAATTGTACATCTGGCCTAGCATCTAAATGGGTGGGTAAAGGTATCAGTCTGACCTTCTATTATGACCACGTGCAACAATTCTTTTGAAGCCCTCAATCTTTAATGATAGAGTGATGCCCCATCATGATGTAACCTGTTACAACATAGTATTTGATATAGCACAGGTCTGTCTTTACTCGTAAAAGGGGTTACTACATATACCCAACGGGCCTTTTCTAACATACCCCTACAGCATGGATCCTAATGATGGCATTATAATCAGGCTTTATGGTAAAATCTGGAATTTAACAACAATAGAATATATTCGTAAAGCACTGTACGAATTACAAAGCACTTTCTCCAACATTATCTCACTTGATCCCCACAACATCCCTCTAAGAAGAGTTAGGGATTATACTCTCCAGTTTGCAAATGAGGAAACCAAGTGAGGTGAAACCTCCTGCTATGAACAAAAGGGCTGGCAGGGCTCTTCTGCCCAGCACACACTCACTGCCTCTGCTTTCTACAGCATCTTCATGTCAGGAGCAACTTGCTTCTCTGCCTAACACTGTTTATTAATGGGGAAACTGAAGCAAATAGTTGCTAAGTGCAATGCTAAGCGCTAACTATAGAGATAGGAGATCAGAAACTTTTTTTTTCCAGTACTGGGGCTCAAACCAAGTGCTCTACCACTGAGCCACATCTCCATATCTCAGCTCAAATTCTTAGCCGCCATGCATTAATTCTTTTCACAAATACTTATCAAACACTTGTTCTGGACTGGGTACTATGCTAGGTGACTGGACTGGATACTATGCTAGGTGAAAAACAGACGTGGTTGCTGCCTGATGGAAATTTCTGATCTAATGAGGGAGGAAAATGACATATAAGCAATCAAACAATTCCAGCAATTTCAGATTGTGATAACTTTCAAGGAAACAGGGTACAGTGACAGGATAAGGAGGTAGAAGAGAACGTATTTATACAGGTGGTCAAGAAAGGTCTCACTGAGCAAGGGACTTTTCAAATAGAGTTATAAAGAATGGAAAAGCAGCTGTCAGTTGGGAGAAGAGCCTTCCACAGAGGGCAAAACTGTTTCTAACAAGCAATCTGTAACTAGGTAAGTTTCCTATCTGTGGGTCATTAATAGAGCTTTTGAACAATGCTGTCTAATCCCTGCCATTCCATTTCCAAGTTGAAAAGAAGTCTAATTCCTGTAGCCCAAGTCCCACATTTTAAAGACATATTCACTGAGATCTAGAAGATTGTGGTCTTTTTGTAATACTGCCCAATTTCTTTTTCCTATAAGTTTTTTCCCCCCCTCTTCATTCTAATACTAAAAACTAAATTTGGAAACTATAGAGGAATAAACAGAAAAATAGAAAGGAGGAGGACATATCTTTTAGCGGAGGGTTCCCTTCATGTCACCGTGTCACCATTTCAAGTCCTCAACCCATAGGTTGCTGCTCCTCCCTAGACAGACCTTATGAAGGTTTTCCCTTTGATTTACAAAGGGGCTTCATAATATACTGCCCAATTTTATGACATAAAAAGTTGGATTTGTCAATGAAGTCTCCTAATCTCAAAATCTTTTTTCCTCTCAACATTTGAAATCAGAATCTCACACTACCTTTTCTCTCTCTCTTAACACTAATTCTCTATTAAGTTAGCAATTTACATTTAGGAGCCTGAAATTTACCAGTTTTATGTACCTTTACAAAGCATGTGTTTATTCTGTGCAAATAATGCCAGAATACCACAACTGGACTGTGTTTATCTAGTAAGCTGGTTCTTCATTCGCTTTTACAAAGTATGGCCAAACACCTGCAGAGTGTGCTGAGGGTGCCCGATGATGAGGTACCAATTCATATTTATTTAGATTATGAGCAGAGTTGCTTCTCTGGTAGAGGGAGCCTACGACATTCAAATTCCTGGGATTACCCTGGGCACCACCTTTCCCCTCCTCTGCTCACCTTTCTAAAGCAACTTGATGGTATGTTGACAATCAGGTCAGTCTCAAGCATGTTAGATTGTACCTGTAATTTAGGCAACTTGCTTTTAAAAGCTACCATTAGTATAAGCAGAAAGGAAGTATTATCTAGTTTAACTTCTGAGCAGCAGCTGTGAAGAGTTATTTTCACATAAAAACTCAAGACCACAGCATAATTAAACCTCACAAAAGGGTAAGCAGTATCTACTGTGAACTAAAAATAGGAAAAAGAATTCATTGAAAACAAACATTTCAACTTCAAATATGAATTCGGACATTTCACAACAGCCATAAAAAATAGATTTGCTTTCCAACCCTTATCAGTGACTAGTCCAATCCTGCTGAGCCTTAAAATGTAAAACATGCTTTCGTGCATTTATTTATCAATATCAACTCTGTGCAAGGCTGCCTAAGATAAAAAGCTGTACAAGGCAGAGTTCCTGCCCTTAAGGAGTTTACCATCTAATATAACTGCCAGGTTATAAACTGATAGTTAAGACTTCTCTTGTCTATTAGTAAATGTCCACCAGAACACACAGTGAAAAGAAGCTCTGCAGGAAGTGAGGGAATGCAAATCATGTCTGAAATCCATACTAAAATCTATGTTTTTCTTTTCAAACCTGCTACTATCCAGAAAAGGGATGGGTTGATAATATACTTATCAGGCTAGCAAGAAACCTTTTAGTTGGGGCTTTGCAAAAATTTGGTCTTCTGCTGATATAGGTACCTGTCTTTGGTCTGTTTAAGTAAAATGTCTCTGAAAATTAATTACAATTATGTCAAGAAATACAACTTAAAAAAAAAAAAAACAAGACTCAGTATAGTGAACTTAGATGTTTCAGTTTCAACAAAGATATATCTACTACATCCTTGGAGATTTACAAAAGCTTGAAACTTTGCAGAACTCTTGTTCTTCAGGAGGGGAAAAAAAAAGGGCATTTTAAACCTCACCTTTCTTCACCTCTGACAGTTGCCTAGAAACCAGTCCTGCCCTACCTGTGTTGCAGGTGTACCTGAAGTCACCAACACATCTCTTTTAAAGCTACAGTCTCTATTCTGACTGCACTACTTAAGTTCATGACTAACAATCTATTCACATTTTTATCAGGGAAGAGACTGGTTTCTTTCAAGCAATGATGAAATCCTAATAAAGACCTAGGAAGGACCGATACAGCACCAATCATGGTCAAGGAATCGTCTAATTTGCACCACGAAATCGTCTAATTTGTACACGAAATTCCCGGTCAGCTTTCAGGTTCTCAGCACGGAATCCCGCAGTGCCCTTAAAGAGCGAGATTCTACAAGAGGAGGGAAAGAACACGAAACAACTCGGGTCAATTTACAAATACAGACCGAGGAAACGACCTGGGCGCCGAGAGCTCCGGCAGAGGGACGGAGGCCGGCCGCGACCGAGAGCCGGTGCCGCGGCCCACCGGAGCGTCCCCGGCAGGCTTCAGGGGCGCTCGGGTTAGACCGGGCACGCAGCCCCGGCAGGACAGAAACGGGGCGCGGGCCGCAGGAGCCCGCCGCCCGCCCCGCGCCCTCCGCAGGCACCCGGTGCCCGGCGGGGACGCGTACAGGGCCCCGGGGCGAGGGGCGCGCCGAGGGTCGCCGGCACCCACGCCCGCGCCGGGGCGAGCTCGGGCCCGGCCCTCCGCACGCCGCAAGAAACGCCCGGCGCGGGCCCGCCCCTGCCCCTCGGCGCGTCCCGGAGCAGCTCGGCGTCGCGGCGGCCCTGTCCGCGCGCCCCACGTCCCCGCCCCGCGGAGCCGCCCGCGCAGGGCCCGAGGGGCGCCGCGCCGCCCGTCCGCCCGCCCGCAGCGCTGAGCGCCTTACCCCGGGGGAGCGGCGGCTGCCCCACGGCGCCCTCCCGCGCATGTCCGTCAGGCCGGCTCAGCGCCGCGGGCTCCGGGGCCCGGACATCGCGCAGGCGCCTCGCCGCTCGCTCCTTCGCTCGCTCGCTTGCCCTCCCGCTCGCGCCGCCTGCCTCGCACCCGGCCGCCGCCGCCGCCGCCGCCGCCGCCGCCGCTGAGTATTTAGCGTAAGCGCCGAGCGTGACGTCAACCCACCGCCCCGCCCCCGCCGCGCAGCCAATCCGAGCGGCAAGCCGCTTAAAGGGGCGATGCCGGGCTGGAGCTGCTGCGGGGTCCCGGAGGGCGTCGCGGGAGGCCCCCGGCTCGCTGGAGGCCCCTGGCTCTTCGCCTTCGCGGATCCGGGCAGCCGCCCCCGACAGCCTACACTCAGGGTTTTCTCAGAAGTCTGCGCGCAGCCGGCCTCGCGCGGAATTTCCCCCAATTCCCCGCCCCCGGGAATAGTGCGTGCCGTCCCCTCCTGCGGGAGCCGGGCGGACGGGACCAGGACCCGGACGGGGCGAGGGCAGCGCCTGCGAGGCCACAGCTCGGGACGGGGCGGGACGGCGAGGGACTCGGAGGGGCCCGGGGACGTGAGGGGCGGGGCAGGGCAGTAAGGGACAGGAGGGATAGCAAGGGACTGTGAGGGACGGGAAGGGATGGTGAGGGACGGCGGGGAACGGGGAGGGATGACCCTGTAGGTCGGTGAGGGGCAGGGGAGGATTGTGGGGACAACACGGCACAGTGAGGGATGGCGAGGGACGGTGAGGAATGGCTGGAACAGTGCTGGACGTTATGGGACTGTGAGAGACAGTGAGGGTGAGTCTGTGCAGGACACAGTGGGACAGTGCAGGACAATGAGGGACGGCGAGGGGCAGTGAGAGACAGAGGGGCAGCCAGGACTCCTTGTTGAGAGCAGGGCCACCAGGGGAAGGCAAGGGCTCTTCTGACCACATATTGGAAAAGGAGCCCGGTCCTGGTGCTGCTGACCTTTTCAGGCCGCCCACCACTTCTAGGGGCAGCCCCAGCTGGGTCCTGGAGGCCCTGGTTCTTCTCCTGTTTACCTGTTAGACCCAAGCTGGCCTGGATATCTCCTGGCACCGGGCAGCCGTGCGATGCCCCAGGACAGACCACGAACAAGCCTGTAGGAGGAGGTTTCTGGGGGCACCCGTGATGCAACTTGGGCTTATAGTTTAACCGTAAAATAAATAATACAAATGATAACAAACCAAGAGTGGCTAAAGTAAGAAAAAAAGCAAACAAACGGAAACCCTCCAGTATTAACGAGAACAGATTTCCTAAATGGTACTTTATGGAGTAGAGGCCAAAGACTGCTACTGACCTCTTTGGTCTCCATAGAGCCCTTCTTGCACTTCAGCAATAATGCCTGATAGTTATACGTTTAGCACAACCTAATTGAGGTTGTTTAACATATGGAATGAGATTCTGGCCTCATTATCAAGTTAACTATTAACTTTGCACCCCGTGAAATGATTTGCCTTTTCTCCAACATTGTTTACTTACATCCTTTTAAATTTAATTCAAAGGCCTCATTTTGAATTCAAGGCCTTAAGCACCAAATTAAAAATGAAAAACTGAAGTATCCCTTTGCCCCCTTTCACTTGCAAGGACAGTTATCCTGTTCTTTCAACGGTACCTTCTGGCCTAGAGGGCTGTGGGGTCATTTTCATGTCCAGGCTATTTATCAACATTGGAGTTATCCTGTCTTCCCTATATTCTTACTTATTGTATTCATTTATTTTATTTTTTTTTTTTTAAATATTTATTTATTTATTTTTTAGTTTTTGTATTATAGGAATTAGTCACAAAGAATTGCTGATTTTCTTACCAACTTAACTAGGTTTTTTTGGTTTACAGAAAATCTATCCAGATTCCATCTCCACCTCCCTGTTTTATGTTCACCACTACCCATATGCTGTTAGCAGCGTGAAAAAAAAAAAAAAAAAAAAAAGATCCGCCTGAGAACTTGCCCAGAACATCTTTTCAGACCTCACAGTACAGCATTTACTGAACGTGGACCTAGATGAGCTCCAGTTTCATTCAAAAGGAACCCTAGTTACGCTCTTTCAAGTCACCACAATACAGCTGTAATTTGTGCTTTGGCCTTATTGGCATGCTTTTACATTCCCCTATTCATAAAACAGTGATAATCACCAGAGCAACCATCAAACACACCCCTTCTTTAGAGAAAGAAGATCAACAGGATACTTACTATATAGTGGTGATCTGTATGATGTGCTAATGTTTTGGTAAATCATCAAAAATCACAAAATCATATGAGTAACACATGATTCATTGATTTCTCTTCTGATCTATTTTAATCTTGGAAAATAAACATTTGATTTATTCATTTTTGGGGAAAAACAGTTATAGCTGCTAGTTAACTGAATTTGGTTCATAATTTTGTTCATATAATAAGTCTTTCTCAGCTGTGAAGGATTACATGAGAAAAGTTATGCTCCACAAATCTTTTATCTAGTAGTCTACTTACTATTTTATAATAACATTGATATGTCAGTAGTATCATAGAATGTTTGGGGAAGAGTCTGAAAGGAAAATGTGAAGCAACGTGAAGTAATTCTATCATATTATGTTTAGCAAGTGACCACTCATTAGAGATTTAGGAAATTAGATTACTGAACCTAAGTATTGAGTAATGTATTTAAAAAAATATATATTTCTCAGAGTTGATTTAATTTTGAGGCCATTTCTCACGGAATGGACACTGTTTTAATAGAGCATGACATCTAAAACATTAGACTCAACATCATATTGACCCAGATAGTCGTTGTGCGGGCAATCCCTTTTCAGCAAAAGAATTGCTATCCCTGGAGTGAGAAAAAGCTTGAAGCTCTGTCTCAGGATCCTGAGAACCATACTGTTGTCCTGAGGACATTACTCCTTTCTGTCCTCACCAGGAAATTCCACAAGTCGTGTATGTATAGAGATGCTGGGCAGACCTTATCAAATGTACAACTTATATCCACGTTTTGATATTGGAATCCTGTAGAAGAGTATGCACATTTTGGTGTTTGTCTTTCTCGGCTGTGAAGGATTACATGAGAAAACTTATGCATTTCTCCTTGTTCATAAAGACATATTTTAAAACAAGATCCTTTTTGCATTACCCTTTTAGTCCCAGAGCTTTTATTTCTATCTATACATGATATAAATGTATAATATGCACTTTTTTTTTACTAGTCTGTAAGCAAGCATGCAATAAAAATCTACACGCCCAATGGAAGAAATGTATTTTTTATAGGCTGTTTGTTTAGTGTACTGCATTGTTTTGAAAACAATCGTGTGTGTGTGTGTGTGTGTGTGTGTATAATCTCCAATAAATTGTGGATTACTTTCGAATGGATGTGCTGGTAAGAGCCCACCATTCATCTGTGAGTGCCACATCACAACAGAGTCTCCCATTGAGCTTTTCCCTTAGCAACCATTTGAATAGTAGCAATACTCCATTTTTCCCTTCCTTTCTACTTGGTATATGTAGCCTGTGAGAAGACGGATGGGCTACTTGCAATTTATTAGTCTGTGTTTTAGATGTCAGAGGCAGGGCTTAACTAACTTTTGTTTAGTATAGGTTTTGGACAGTCTATCTAGTTGTTTAGTTTTAATTGAGTCACCCTTCAGATACCTAATGTTGCTTTAATAAATATTTGATGCTTTTGACGGATGTTTTTCTAATTCCATCCCACCTCTGGAATCAGTAACTGTTAGAATTTTTTTAGTATCCTGTGGATCAATTTAATTTAGATACATAGTCGATGTTTTCAAGATAATTTTTTTTTTCAAGCAGAAATTTGACTTTACCTTCTGATTTAAATATTTAGACATTTTGTCCCAAGTAAATGCTGTATTTCCTATTAGCTGGCCAGTAGGGTGTGCTCTAGTCCCTTGCCAAATTAATTAATTAAAATTATTAATGTAAACTTTTGATTAAGAGATTTCAGAAATATGTTTCACTTGTTCATTGCCAGCAACACAGGGGAGGTGTGTTTATATAGATACCAGTGCAGATGCATACACACCATATACAGAGAGAATGGTTACATCAAAAAAAGAGAAGGCTCCGAGATGCCAACCTCTTCAGCTTAGTCCTAAAATAACTTGGTATTGTTTTACCAAATTTGTCTCTTGGCAACAGGCATTTATTTTGTCCTGGACAATGAAGAATAGGAAGAGGTTGCCATGATGAAGAGTTCCTGCTCTCAGGTGGGTGTGTGGGATCTTTCTCTAGCTCTCACCAGCTGGGTGGCTTTGGGCAAATTGTTTAACCTCTGTGCCTTGTATTATGGGGGTAAGAGTGGTCCCTGTTCATAGACTACTGGCTGGATAAATGTGTGGGACAGTGCTTAGGCACTGCCCAGGCCAACCGTGGCTCAGTAATATTTTGTTTTTATTATTATGGTTATAAATTCTTTGAGAGATTTTTGAACCTCTTTCATTGTAAGATTGTCAATTTCTTGATAGCTTATTACACACCATTTAATTGTTCAGAATGTCGTTTCATTAAATCCAAAGAGCATAAATGATTCATAACCTAAAAACGCCTTGCTTGACTCTGCAGTATTTCCTCTTCAGAGCCATAAAACCTTAAGACAAAAAAAAAAAAAAAAAAACAACAACACAAGGTCTCTGTAATAGTGCAGTATCCGTCACCTGCAGTCCTCAGGAGAGGCGCTAAGGGCAGGAAAGCCTTCTTTGCAGCTGTGAAAGCCAGCCAGCAAGTACTAAATCTGTGACTATTTACTTCTAAGCATCCAGACCCATGTTTCCTTTTAAAAAAATTAGATTTAACCTGTATATAAAATAAAGCCCCCGAAGAGCTTTTTGATATGAATAAATAGCTTTACAATTTTCTCTGAAATGCAAGGACAATGGATAATAGTCAATGATTGGATATTGATTTGAAAAAGATGGTTTTTTTTCCAATCCATGTCACAGAAGAATAAAACTGTGAGTTTGATGTTAAAATGAACACAGTTGATTTCTCGATTTCTCT